GGGAGAGAGAATAAACTGACCCGAGGTAACCCTGCAGCCATCACCCAGACCAAACACTGCGCTCGTTTTTCCTTTCTTCTTTTTTGCCTCTTCATCTTTTGTTCCCTCCATCTTGAATGCCTTTTCTCCACTTGGGGAGCGAGACATTGCGGAGGCTTTTTCTTGATGTGCCCGTTTAACATGTTCACTGCTCCTAGTGACCCATATGCTTGAGGCTCCTGAACACACAACACTATTTGTGGAGAGATAACATATGCCTAGATCTATGCCAAACAATATAGGCTTATGTAACTGGAGAAGTAAGGAGAAGCGAAAGCTTATGTAGTACATATAACAAAAACACGAGTGATCATGTGTGTAGACCAAGCCTTCACAGGCAAGCATGGCTGGAGTTTTGACATGACATTGTAATTGATGTTGTTTATGCCCGGTGGTCACGAGTCCTGGTCCTGGAGATCTACTTTCCTGTCTGGTTCCAACCTCAACCTGCCACACCTGCTCCAGCTAATTAGCTTCTTAAGAAATCAGATTGACAGATCAGATGCGTTACTGTTAGGTAAGGAGGGGGCAGCATGTTAGATTCAGAGGAACTAAACTCTACAGGAAAGTAGATCTCCAGGAGGGGGGTTGGTGACCACTGCTAAGGCCTACAAGGACATTTGAAAACAGAGAGAACATAGGCTGTGAGTAAAAAGAATGAAGGTTGCATGATCTGCGGATAATCATTATCAGAAAATTATAATCTTTGCATTGCTGATTGCAGAAGGTTATAATATATATATTATGTATATATATATATATATATATATATATATATATATATATATATATATATATAATATGCAAATGAGCCAATAACTAATCACATTATTAAATTGTGTGTTGTGAACATCATGACCAATCCCAGATGGTCAAGATGAGTTTTTATGGGTGTTTCGGTGCATCAAGACATTTAGCTGACCCAGCAGACATCAGCCTAATTATTTTTGGGCAAAAATAGTGCAGGCCAGTCTAAGATCACATCTGGGATTCACTGATATTGCAAGACCTAGAATCACAGAATGTAATGTAATGTAGGCCCAGAATCACAGAATATAATGTAATTTAATTACAAAATGGTATTTTGTCTTTATCGTGCAGCTCCACTTAGAATGCAAGGGGCAGTAGGTAGGAGTGAGCAGCCAGATGAGTGTATATATGTATGACTGAATATTAGAGTAATGGAGGCTCAGGCATTGTGCTTTGTAATTGTTCAGTCATTATATAACTCCATTTTGTGTGTTTTGATGTTTTCTGTGACATTAAGGCTGTTGTGGTATTTATGATAGAGGATAAAGTGAAAGGAAAGAATTGCGGTGAATTCTCCTCACTGCATGAGGAGAATGTATGGTGTTGGATTAACAGGTCAGTGAATTTGCCTGTGAATTTGTTCTGAAGTGGGGCAGACTGCGCTAGCCATACATGAAATCAGTGCCATTGCTTGCGGGGTAAAAGGTGGTGATGATTCTCGCCTGCATCTGTAGGGTGGCACAAAAATTCCATTAGGATGTATGAATGAATTTAATGTATACTACAGATCAGGAGTGACTAACCCTTTTGACTTGGGGAGCCAAAGTGATGAATTTGTGTTGGAACAAGGGCCAAAAATGACAACAAAATATACAAATAAATAAGGTAGGTAGGTTTCAAATCAGGTTTTTATACATGTGTTTTTGACAGTGCGGTATATTTTGTTTTTACAATACTTTTACTAAATAGAATTTTATAATTATATAATAATTTAAAAAGTTATATATAATATAAAAAAAATGATTGTTCTGTCATTGGGTGAGGAGGTGGGGTCGCATCAACACTTTCAGGAAGCCTTGCTGTATAATATAATATAATATAATATAATATATAGGATGATCGTAGTGTTCATAGTTAAAATAAACCCACAAATCATGCAATATTGATGGAAGTAAGTAAATTTCTAATCCATGATTGAACCATTAGCCAAAAATTTGGTTCAGTCCACTGATGCACCTTCTTGATTTGCATGTTTAACAGATGACAGAAAGTGAGACAGAAAAAAATGTCAAGCAAAACACCACCAATTTTCACTACATGTCCCTTTAGAGGGAAGCTAGGAACAGTTCAGTTTGTAGGTTGTAACTTTACTATTTTCTAAGAAAAGTGAGTTTATCAAGCTGTCTTGGTGTAGAAGTTGAAGCTAATAAGCTAAAAACACAAGTGCTACTAGCCATCTAACCTAGCTAGCTAGCTATGCAGGTGGGTGTAATGATTGTTAGCTGGCTTGCTAAGGTACTGTTCTGAAATTTGTTTTTATATGCCATCATGGCAAAAAAAAATGTATGCTCTGTTGCTAGTTTTAGTTCTTCACACAAATCTTTAACTTTATGAATGCCAAATGAGGAGATTTTTAGCTAGTTGGCAGCACAGGAGTGATTGACACTACTAAAAGGGTAGTGTAGTGTAGCCTATTGTTCACATTCACAGTATCATGCAACATGCAGCAGTACAGCACAAGCTTTACATAATTAAAAGGAAATTTGTATCTCTTTTACCTTTTACTGGAAAAAAAATTAATTAAATCATGTGCCTGTGCTACTACAAAACACAGAAACAGTTTAATCAGGCCTGAGATGAAATTGAGGATGGTCATTTATTTGCTTTGAGTTTCATACAGCATATATGCCTTTGCTTAGAATAATACATCCAGGTAATTGGACAGAGCTTGACAACCCCACACGATGCGTGTGCTATGTTCTAAATAGTCTTGTCACCATCCACAGTTTTGGTCTCCATGCTTTCATCTACGCTTAGGCATTAACAAGCAGTTAGCTTAAATAAGTACAGGAAGCATCTGGAATGTAGTCTCTTACATAAGGCAGTGCCTTTCTACATAAAACTCAAAACTGTGCTCTCCAACGCAAAGTCTGTTTGTCCTTTAGTATGTTGTAATCATATCTGTTAAACATGATTAATATTAATTTCAGGTTCATTAGCATGATATTTGTGTTTGAGAGTAAATTTGAAAGCTCATGTGTTGGTGGTTACTCTGACAAAATGTGAGGCATTTTGCATGATGTGGTCAGCCAGGCTTAAACAGATGGGGGGTCTGAAAGCTGCAGTTTTTTTCCCTCAGAGGAAATCCAGCAGTCAAAAATGCTGCTGCAAGGCGAGGAAAACAATTCGGCCATGTTTGGGTTTTTTGTCCGGTCCAGCGGGGCTCTCAAGCTGTGAATGGCTGAAATGGTACGGAAATAAAGAGCAGGATTATGCTTCATGTTCAGGCCAAAGGAAGGTTCTGGCTTTAGCTTGGACTCATTTAACCCTATATCTAAAATATGATGGAAAATATCATTTAATTTAATATGTTGTTGCTGTCATATCAATACAGTTTTTACGCCATTTAAAAACACCAGCTGCCCTTTATACCATGTAAACATTTCATGATGAAAACAATGAAATGGGCCAGTGCTGACACAAAATGACATTAGTGCACATTAAAGTTACTAATGTTTTTAATCTTTCATATAACTACTGTACTTCAATTATTTAAATGTGGCTTGAGGATACTGGAACATTAAGATGGTGTTGTACTTTGTTGTAGGTGTCATTGGCTGTCGTAATGCTGTTGTAATCAAACATGAACACCTCACACTGCATGCAAGAACAGATGAAAAGTGATCACTTGTCCAATTATTCAGCTGAAAGATGTAACAGATGGCCTGGTCCGTATGAATACACTCACAGACGTGTTTTTGTCCGGAAGAATACCACACAGTCAAGAAGCCCCATTCACATTCACACTTTTTAAACAACGTAAGCAATCTTGACGCTATTGGAAATGAGGCTTCAGATTATTTGCATACAGTGCAGAGAGGTGCAGATTTTTCTTTTTTGTATATTAAAGCCTTTAGTCTCAAAAGAAGGCCAGTGATCTAAGTCTCTTCTGTCTAATGATCACATACGGCCACACTTGATGCACTTAGCTGAGCTAGCTTGTAATTACTAATTTTTTTCTGGTTTTCTGTTATAAATATTTTAATGCTTTCTAACTAACTCAATTGCTGCTTGTTATAGCTGTTGGCAAATGTGCTAAACTCATGTGAACACAGTTATTTACACAGAAACTCAATTTTTAAATACGAAGAGGGAGAAGAGAAGCATATTTTTGCTCTCACCAATAGCTAAATGTATACATACATACATACATACATACATACATACATACATACATACATACATACATACATACATACATACATACATACATACATACATACATACATACATACATACATACATACATACATACATACATACATACATACATACATACATACATACATACATACATACATACATACATACATACATACATACATACATACATACATACATACAGCTGGTCACAGTGGGGTGCTGGAGCCTATCCCAGCTGTCATTGGGCGGAAGGCACAATACACCCTGGACAGGTCGCCAGTCCATCGCAGAGTAGACAGACAGACATACATACATACACATTCACACCTAGGGGCAATTTAGCACATCCAATTGGCCTGATTGCATGTTTTTGGACTGTGGGAGGAAACTGGAGTACACAGAGGAAACCCACACAGACACGGGGAGAACATGCAAACTCCACACAGAAAGGACCCTGGTCGCTCGGCCAGGAATCGAACCCAGGCCCTTCTTGCTGTGAGGCGACAACGCTACCCACTGCGCCACCGGGCCGCCCTAAAATGTTACTTAATTAAATAACAGCACAGTTATTAATCATAGAATAAAAAGTAAAAGAGCCTGAACAAAAATCACCAGTCATGCATGCATTTCTAACATTCTTTGCTGCACTATTCAAGAGTGTAGGAGCTACATAAGAAAAAGATCTTCCACTGACTGCGAATGTAGTTCTTCTTGATTTTGATCTTGTTTCTCCTCTGTCCTCCTCAGCTGTGAAGTAAACATTAAGACAGGAGGCTCAGGATGAAAAGATGGCAGCCATGCTGTTTCCACCGGGTCCCGACAGCTTGCACCGGTTCACTCGTGAATCCCTGGCTGGCATCGAGCAGCGGATCACCGAAGAGCAGGCCCGGAATGCCAGGGCGTACCAGGAAGACCTGGGCGACGTGGAGCTGCCCAAGCCCCGTGCTGACCTGGAGGCAGGCAAGCAGCTGCCCCGCATTTTCGGAGACATTCCATCAGGACTGGTGGGGGTGCCACTGGAGGATATCGACCCATTCTACTTCCAAAACCAGAGGGTGGGTGCTTCCATACTATACATGCACACGCAGATAAAAGCTCCCACATACAGGCCAAAACCAGTGTTGTATATGTACAGTGCCTTATGAAAACTTTAAACCCACTTCAAAATGATCAGCATTTTCTGAATTACTAAAGTAAAAGTACAATACTTGCAGACAGAAATCTGATTTTGGCTTTGAAAATTGTGTTCACAATTGAAAAATGAATCATTTACTTAGTAGCAGTTAAAGGGCCAATATCCTACAAAATTTGTGCTATCTACATTTTCTCATAATGTTTGTGTTGTTTTATGCACCAAAGCAGTCAGTTTATTTTTACATGACTTCTCTTAATCCCTTAAAATACAGGCGTTTTTTTTGCTGTGCTGAAATATGCAAGTGATCTCTCTTCTGATTTGCCCTGTATTGTGCCTCAGTCAAATGGCAGTCCAGATGTTTAACTTACATAGAAAATATAAAAAATTCCATCGTTTTTTTCAAAATTTCTAAATAACTCATGCAAATAAAGTAATTCACAGTGGTTTGTAGTGAAATTATTCATTTTAGAGAAACTTACAGAATTCAGATTTACAGTGGTGGTGATGGGAACCAGGGATCACAATGTCTTCAACTCAAATATAACCATTTTATTTCCTATCCAAAACAACCAGTAAACCTACACCAGAATTTTTAATGTAATGTTGTTCACAATAAATTTGTGGTAAATCTGCTATTTTGCCTTACAGCACCCAACATGTGTCTCTCTTCCGTAAATGGATTTTTTTTTAAAAATGGGTTTTAGGGCAAAACCTAACTCAAAACTGCCATAAAACAATGTCAGCGTATTCATTGACTCTGTCATTTTCTCTAGAATGCAGCATTTCAAACTAAACCACTGCAAATGACTGTTTGCATGTGAAAAATTTATTCATGCAGAAATTTTGAATATTTGTATACTTAGTATGAGTTTGATAAATAGGTGGATAGCTGTGTTGTTGAAGCTGTTTGTGGAAAGAGCATGCATGTCAAACTTGTGTTTTTGTGTTTGTTTTCAGCCCTAATTAACTTTAATGAACTTCATTTTGTGCCTTTAATGGAAGCACAAAGTGTTTTAGATCAACTGACTCAACTATGCGTCCACTAGAAGCAATTACACAAACGTCCCACGACAAACACGAACATCATTTAATGTAAGGTAACTGTCAGCCCACACTTTGAAGTTGTCCAGCATTAGGGGTGTAGTTGATTTATTTGAGCTGATTCAGAGAAGGCTGGAAAATGGGAAATAACCGATGAAAAGGATGAGTCACTGAGCTGATGATGGGCACTAATGCTACCGCTGCTGCGCTAGCGGGTGTCTCATACACACTTCCTCGCAGGCCGACCCCGCAAATCTCCATTTTCATGGATTTCAGCTAAATTTTTTGCCGTGGGGAGAACTTTTTTCAGTGCATTTTTTTGTGAGAAATTTTGGAGTATTTACAGTCATGCTGAGCTTCTGTAATGGCTAAAGCTAAAGGTGCAGACCACTGAATAGACACTGAGGCAAAATCCTGTCCTCAGGAAGCCCCCCCGCTTTGCAGTGTTTTTTTAATACCCTATCCGCCCAATTCACCTTGGTGGAATTTGTGAAGTATTTAGCGACTTTAATCTTGTTTCAAGCTCAGCAATTACCTGCAAGAAGATGCAGTGCTGTTGTTTACTGTTGCTGTAGTTGTTGGATGTGTCAGTGCCTATAATAGACCTCTTCATAGTGTTATCAACAGACTGCGTTTCCCCACGTGTCCCGCACGCGTGAAGTCCACGCTCCAGCACAAGTCACATTTGTCAGTTTAATAAGTGTTCTTGTTGACACTGACAAGGCCACTGTATGGAGGATTAAATCAGTTATCTGAGACTGAGCCCAGGAGAAAGGTTAGCTATAGCAGATGAGAGGCAGCATGGTCTTTTATTCAACCTAGAGTTTTACCCTCCAAGACTAACGGGTGGATAATATGGCAAAACATAATATCACTATATTTGCAGATAATTTGATGATACACAATATAATCATATTTAGTTTTTCTATGCACCAGCAAAACAGTCATGTCACATTATTTAAAAAAAAAAAAAGACTGTGTGAGACTGAGTGGTGCAACCCAGTGTTGACCCTATGTTCCCTGGTGATGCCAGAGCTATCCGTGGACAAGAGAGTATAACTGGCCATCGCTCCCTCTGGGTGGGTAGAAGCCTAGCCAGTGTGGGTGTCTGCTTGCAGATATAATAGAATTGGCAGTTAGTATTCTCCTCCAAGTGTGTTGTGCTGTCCAGTGACAACGTGTTAGCAACAGTTTGAAAAGATGTGGTGCCGCTTTATGGCCCATGGAATCACATGCTAGCCTTCACCCTCACAGTTTTTTATGAAATTGGCCATGACTAAAATTGTGGGAAAAAAAAATTGAATACATTGTTTTTTTTCATTTATGTTTGTAAAAATAAATGAACAGGAAGTAGAATCAAAAAATAAATACATGGTATACAGTCAGTTACTGTGCAGTTTGTACATTTAACATACAGTACTGCGTAAAAATGAGAAAACCCCTTATTAATTTAATTTCCAGTCAAAATGGACATAAAGTACAGCTTCCAGGCTTTTCGGGAGACTTGCTTTTAGGTTTTCAAAGAAATCTGCATATTTTTCCATACCTCCAAAGTTCAGTCTTTGAAGTTGGTTGTATTTTCTGCTTCTCACCATCTAAATAATCCCAAACACATTCAGTGATGTGGCTGTGTGGACCCCATAGTGTTGAGTTGTCTTCTCACAGTGGAAGGATGGACAGAATAACTGTGGATTTTTTCAGATCTGAAACAACAGTGGAGCTTTTTTATCTTAAAGGATGAAAACTTAAAGTGCTGTTTATCTGATAGTGACAGTTTTGGTGGTCTACCTTCCGTGGTTGCTATGGGTCTCATTTTCTCTATAACTAATCATTTTTAGAACTATAGTTTAGGAAGCTACAGTTTTTTTTGCTTATACTCCTTATGGCTTTCGCTGTCTATATGCAAGTTGATTATCTCATATCTAATCTCCTCAGAAATATTTCCTGAAAAATGAATAACTCAATGAATAACTGAATTATGAATTACCTAATTGCCATTTTGACTGGAAATGAAATAAATGAAAGGTGGTCTCTAACATTAGCATAGTACTGCACAGTGGTTGTTTTTGTTGTTTACAGGCTCTGTGTAATTGGTCTAAATCTGCTTTGTGATACATGCAGCTCAGTGTTCCAGAAGTGCTGACGATACCTGTAGTGTAAGCATAAAAGGGTAATTTATCACAATAATGATAACATAGCAACGTATTGCCCACCCCTACAGGACTGATGAGAAAGTGATGCTGTTCTTAGGAGTCACCCAGTTACATTAATGTGAGATCAGCTTTGTGGTTGCTTTTGTAGAAGTTGGAGAAGCTGGTGTTAGATTAATTTCAAAGGGAAAGCCAAATGGCCTAACTGAACACAGCGAGAGCCTACTTTATCTTTTTGCCCTCCTCCCTTTTGTTATTCCCCAAATCTGCTCGTATGCACACACTCTGCTTGAGTTGCAGATGATCTCCCACAGGATATCTGAGGGAGGTAGAAAATAAACAGAAGCAAGCGTGACCCAAATGTTACATAAAGATATGCAGCGTGAGCCACAAATCACTGTGTTTACAAAGGTTACAAAGGGCATGAGGCCAGAATGCTGAGAAAGGCAGCGAACATGCTGCTAACAAAGACATTGCTTTGGAAAAACAGAAAAAAAGGAAAGAGAGGGAGAGAGAAAGAGAGAGAGAGAGAGATCTGTCGCCACATCTTGCCACCGTTGCAGTGGGAAAATTCGCTGACCCTGATGTTGCCTGGTCGCAATTATTCTTCATGCGTTGACTACTCGCATTATTTATGCGATGGTGAGATGGTATAAATCCAGCCTGGTAAGGAAGCCATGAATCCTCGGCAACCAAGCAGGGCTGTTTGTGCAGCATGAGGATAGAGAGCCTCCCTGCTCCTGTCACCCATAGTGACAAACAGCGTCCCCTGATAGCACATATCCTCCCATTGAGCCCAGCAGTAATTCATTTGTGAGCTGCTTTTTTACCTCTATTGTTTTGCTCTTTGTCATCTTCGGAATTGCACAGGTTTCTGGAGGAAAGCTTCTTCTGAGAGAAAGATCTGACTTTGCGCTGCGAGGGAGCCTTTGACCTCTAGGCTCAATATTCAGTAATTAATGTTAAGATTGAACATGAATTATTTAGTAATTACTACACTGCGAAATTGATATTTTGACAAGTGGAAACATCTGAAATCTAGTTGGTATATTGAAGATTTATCATTTTGAGATATAAGAATATTATGAAATTATGTAACATTTCTAGACATTTTTAACTTACGTTTTTATCTATAATGTTATTTTAATTTTAATTTAAAAAGTAATTTATCTAAAGTAAAAATCTCATTCTGTTGGCAGACAGTTTCACTTGTAAAATTGCTTAAAACAAGTAACTGAGAAAAAAAAACATAGAAGACCTTTTGCAAATCAAACAGAGAAGCTGCTGGTGTTCTCAAAACAATGAACTGACCACCCTGGAGTCCAGACCTCAACATCACTGAGTTTGTTTGAAAATTGATTATGAGAAGCAGAAAATACAACCAACTTCTAAGACTGAACTTTGAAAAAGTGGAAAATATCCCTGAAAATTTCTTTGAAAAACTTTAAATAAAAAAATGACAAAAATAATCAAAGCTGCAATGAAGGCAAAGAACCCCTAACACTTAGAGTTTTGTTGATATATTTAGTTGTTGAGGCTTCTCTGTATTTTTCTGTTCTAGTGCCAGTCTTTCAAATGTTATCTGTTGGATGTCATATGTGATGTTATTTTGTTCTAACCTGTTGCCTGTTTTCCCTCTCTCCTTTCTTTCCAACAGACTTTTATAGTACTAAACAAAGGGAAGGCCATCTTCCGATTTAGTGCCACATCTGCACTCTATATTTTTAGCCCTTTTCATCCTATTAGAAGAGCGTCGATAAGGATTTTAGTACACTCATATCCTTTCTGCTGTCCCACCAAAGGGCTAAATTGTGTTGGAAAGAGTTTTAAAACTGTATTGATTGCTCCAGACACTTTTGGTGCCATCTACAGAATCCATACTGTGTAAGCGTAACCTAAAGATAAGCCTCTAAAGCCAATGCATGAGCCTCTCTGGCTGGCTGAATAGGTCGATCTTGTAATACTGCACCTGATAATGTTTTGTTCTGTACACCATTTAAATAATGTTTTGTCACTGTGAATCTCTCACACATTTGAAATCAACCTCTGACTTTTTAAAATTGTTTACAGTGTAGGTGAATGCACAAATGGGGGTTTTTCTTGATCTACAGATGTTCTGATTCTTAATACACCCTGGGCAGATTCAAAAGTCATAGAAACGACTCCAAATATGATTTCAAAAGTAACACATCAACAAGAACATGGGCAACATTCACCCATCAACCACTTCTTTCTGGAAGTCAGGAAGTCTAGGGGTGAGTGAGGTCATCTTGCATTCTCACCAAACGACTCAGACTCTGACATTCAAGGGCTTCTGCTATGTATGGGCGCTCCTTTGTGTGAACAACGCCAAATTTGGATGGCTTCATTCCCAGCTATGGAGCGATCAAACCTCCCAAGGCCTCAATGCCATCCCCACACCCTTCCTTTGCCAGCAGCTGCTAAAAATATCGACGAGCGCAGTTAGCCATGGTTCAGGGTGTTGAGAAATATTAGGCTCGTGGACGCTTTGCTCTTGTCAGGCCGATAAGCAGGTGAAAACAGTTCCTCTGGAGGCGTCACGTCCATACACCCACCCTGCCCTTCCCTCAAATTCCCTTTTAGGGCGAACAGGGCGAGCTGGACAGCCCATTCCCACCACAGAACGCCCACCATTACGCAAACCCCATGTTTCAGCTATATCTCAGATTTCAGAGGTACAACACAAAAGAGAAGGGCAAGACTATATGTGTGTATGTGTGAGCGTGGTAGCTAAGTGGTGAAAAGCACTCACTTCCAGGCGACGGCACAGACGCCACACGCCTGCGCTAATAGCAGATTACCCGGGGGAGTGGGCGCCAGGAAACATGTTTGATTAGCCAGTGCCACAAGAGCACATTCATAACACGCAGCCTTGCGGAGAAGGCAGAACGCAGCCCCGTCGCTCTGCACTGAAGTGATTGCACTCATTAGAAAAATGCGAGAAATGCGATTCGCAAATCAGCGTGTCTGCGCCAGGCAACATAAGCAGCCTATCAGAGGGGAGAAATAACCTTAAGACAAGCTGCTGACAACACATGCTCTCCAGCATGTCTGAGACTTGACAGGCCATTCTGGAGAATTCAAAGGGCTTGGGCCGTTAGCGTACAGTGCATTGGAAGCACTGTACGTTTTGCCCTGAAGCAGATTTAGGGGGTAATTGACTAAGCTGACTCTTCAAAATGGAGCCTTAACAGCATTTTGGCAGCTTTTATTTGGCTGCGAGGCTGAAATGGACTTTTCCCATTACGAATTTGAGCAGATGCTTAGGGTGCCTTTGTCTAGCTGCTCTGCTGTTCTCGTGCTTATGATTCACGGTGAAGAGAGCAGGCTGGAGGCTGGCGTAACACGAGAGCCTCCACAGGCCTTTGAGAATGCAGGGTGAGGGTACTGACACCACAACCTTCAGAATCACTAATGTTTCTAAGTCACAGAGAAGTTAGCATGGAAAGTAGAGCTGGCACGATACCGCCTTTTCTTTTCCGGTAGTGAAACCTTAAGTATCGGCTGACCTGATATATTTTTTTTAAAACTTTACTAGTACGCTTTAAAATGAGCTGTTTTTAATTGAAGCACTTTGCTTAAGATGAGCATCTAAAAGTAGGCCTTCATGCTCAACTACCTCACAGGAAAAAATACGCAGCTAACAACATCACATCACACAGTGTGAGTGTTTGCTATTTCAGACTGAATTTGTTACATGATTTGTTTGTTATTTTGCTCCACTGTTTGCTCTGGAGCTTTTTGCTGATATTGGCCTGATACCGATACCTGGTATCTAGGGGTGCATCAATTCACAAATTCAGAATTCAATTTGAGACAATATGGTGGTGTCTCAATTTGATACAGTTTGTACAGCAAAAATAAAGAGTGACTGAAAATGTCTTATGTCAATTTTTTGTTAATTAGAGAATTCAATATTATAAATGTGCAAATTTTTAAACAAAAGCTGTGTACCCCTTAACACTTTTGTTAAAAAACAGGTGCTTCTAACCAGATGAAAACATTACTTATCTTATGCGCATCCTCTGCTCTTTATGTTGTTACAGTAATGCAAACAAAAACCAACAAAAAAGTTTTTCCCAGTGCATCCATCTTGTTTTCCAAAACCACTTGAACAGATGTCATGCTGTGCTTACGACCTCCAAAGTTGTACTTCTGAGGAGGACTTGAAGGCAGCATATGCTACAATAGGATATGTTGTATTGTTACAGCTCTACTGCTGTCTGTGCCATCTCTAATAGAAAGTTTTCCTGGATTGATAGCTTTAGACTAATTTTATTGTGAACAATGCAAAACTGAAATTCAGTCAGGACCGTTTCGTCAAAGAAAACATTTGTTTCCATTTGTAGTAAGTTATATTTGGCAGTATGACTCTGTTCTGAAAACCGTCTGCCCTTCCATGTGCATACGTGGAAAGCCAGGCAGGAAGAGCAGCAGAAAGACCACCCCTAGGGTACAGAACAGAGCAGGCATCAGTGACAACAACAGGACACTGAGTAAGTCAGACACCTGAAGGACAAGTTGGGGTGGAGGTGGGTTGCAAAGTGGCTTGTAAAGGTAGCATGAGAATGGGCAGAACAGAGCAGTGTAAATAAACGCCCTGATGAATTTAACCGATCGTATGCTTAGCAGGCAGTCAGCTGAGCCGTCAGTTGATTGAGGTCAGCTGATAACAGCTGGTGATTTGAGATTGGCCTGCCTGAACAAACGCTACGCTCAATTAATACTGATAACTTTTATCTGTAGGTAGATGATTTATTCTCATTACTAAAGTAAAGACTATGAGGGCTGTATTTCACTTCAGTTCAACAACAGAGATGTGAAAGAGAGAGATTTGATAGTGTCATAATGTATTCATTTTAAGCATAAAATTAAATTAATTATTTATTAATAAATGATTTCTTTCAGCATGCTGGTAAGGGGTTGGAAGAAGATGTCTCGAAAATTCCTTGTTGTCACAGATTGCGCAGACACATAATAAGGCCTAGATTACACTCATATGCAGAGGTTTCAAATTGCCCCTTCCAAAAGAAAATGATGAAAATAAAACAATGTAGGAGGGCCACATGCTAAGACTGTATTTACAGAAGCAGGATAGGCCCACGCCTCAATGACTGAATTATAATTTTCAGCATCATTTAACAGAATGAGCAGATGTCAATTACTGTCAACTGGTTGCTGTGAACAATTTGATTTTTAAACACCTACATTACAAGACCCATAAACCTGTAATCAAACCCTGTAATGGACTATCTATTACAAGAATTAGTCTCATGTAGAACCTAAAAGACATATAGAAGTTTGTCTTTACTTTGTGTTTACTGATGCTAACTGTGTTGTTGGTGTTTGGTGAAATGGAGTTTTATGAGATGTGCAGTAATGATAGTGGACAGTGACACTGAATTTGTTGTTTTTCAGCTGTGTCCTCCAGCAAATTGAATTTGAAATGAAACAATGAGCTTGAGCTTAATGTGTGGAATGTCATCTGTAATTTGAGGGCATTTACATTAATACTGGATGAACCACATAGGAGTCACAGCCCTTCTATTCAAAGAATGCCCGTTTCAGGGAAACATGAGTAATTGAACAAATTAACATAATCTTGAAAAATAATGCCATGCTTACTGGCTAGTTACATTTGCCATTGATGACTGCCTAAAATTTGTGACCCATAGATAGCAGCAAATGCTGGGTATCTTCCCTGTTGGTAATTTGCCAGACCTGTAATGCAGTAATTTCTAGTTCCTGCTTTTTTCATTTTTTTAAACATCATTCTTGTTTCCACTAAGTGAATTGCCTGTTCAATTACATGTTGTTCCATTTTATTGGCCCTATATAACATACATGTTTTAATAGTAAAGGTGTAACAATTTCAATTTCGGAATAGTGTTTTAAAATTTAAGATTGTATTGCTGATACGGCCCTTTGTCTCTTCTGGAGGTCTCTTGTCTTTCATGGAAATCACTGGCAATGATCAAAACTAGGCTTCTGGGTACATCTAATCAGAGTAACGTTGGGGGGCTTATGCTATGAAGGGGCTTATGACAAACCCATGCTAACTGGTTGCTTGTAAATTCTAGCTAAATTGCTAAGTCTTTAAAATAAAGAATAAAGACATTTTTTACACATAAAATACAGAAAATCTTGACCTGAGAATCAAAAAGTTGCACTCTGCATGATTGGTTCACTGTTCTGCTGCAAGATGAATGAGACATTTGGTTGAATCTGAGCAGTTAAGATGCTTCTGTTCGGTTCAGAGGTCATCCTGCTGCTGCTCTCCACTCTGATATCATCAAGCTGTATATGCCCACTGCACCATGTTCCACAGTTGAGGCTGTATTCTTCGGATCATACACAGTTTCTGTTTCTCCACCACACTTTCCTCATTCTGAAAGTCTGTTACAGGTTAATTTTTGTCTTATCTGCTCATGAAGACCTACTCCCAGAACTCTAGATGATTTTTATATATGTATTTTAGCAATTTGTAAAGCACTAGGTTTAAAGGTAAACTCCATCTATTTTTTTTACATAAATTTCTGCATAATTTAATTGTTGGGATGTAAACAAAGTTATTCAGTGTGGTTTGATGTGAGATGATTCAATGTAGAGAAACTTACTGACTCAGATTTCTTTACTGTGGTGGTGCCAGGCATCATGATGTCAACACAAATATAGCCATTTTATTTACTATCCAGAATGACCAGTGAACCTACACGTGTCTTCTTTTTATATGTAATGATGATAATAGTAAAATAGTGGAGATTTTTTTTTTGGATACTATTTTGCCTTACGACAGCCAGCATGTGCCCCTCTGCCATTAATGGAAAAAAAAACTTTATCACAAAACTATCATAAAACAAGGTCTCAGGTATCAGGCAGCATATTCGTAACCATTTAATTTCATAACTTTGTGATGTGAAGATACAATGACAATAGTAGGTCATTCACTTACGTCCTCAGAAGACACGTCCTTCATCAAGTTTGTCTTTAAAGTACTCTTTGAACACACTCGCAATAATCAGAACATATTTCCACCAGAGACGTCTCTAAATCCCCAAATCTTACATAGTGTTGCTTTAACAAAATGATTCTGTGTGGTTCTGTAATTCTCATGTGGTTCATTCATTATAGATGCAAAGGCCCTCAAGTTAAAACTTACATTCAGTTTGATTTCAAATCCAAAGTTCTGGGGTACAGAGCCCAAAAACAACAAAGTTACTTATAAACTCTACTGCATGTATGATATTTTGAATGTAAATGTTTTCCTTAACTTTTATACATTATTCAGTCTGTTCATTATGTGCACTATTTTGACCAACTGTTGCTTCATGGCCATGTCTGAACCAGCGCAGTGGGCCAAGTATGTCGAGTAAGTACCCACTCTTTCTCTGTCTATGCATTCAAGCCTCTCTGGACTTAAAGGGACTCTGTCAGTTCCTCTGTACCTCTTTCTTTTCTATCTCATAACCCTCTTTGACTGTATTGACCTCTGAATTGTGCCCTGTTTGTCCTAATGTAAAGCTTTGCCAGGTGTTTGTTGCCTTGCCAACCTCAATTAGCAAGTAAGTTAACAATATGACTGTGTCAAGCCCATGACTTTGCTAATTGCACCTCTGCTATGCTACATCGGAATGAAATCATGGTATGGTTGTCATATACCGTTCTGCCTTTCTAAATTTTCATTAAAGGGATTGATTCTTGGAAGAAACAAAAAGGAAACCCAAATGGAATATCAGGAATGGCATCGAAAATTGTAGTTGAATTTGGCTATACAACTGTTTCAGAAGAACATGGGTTAAATCCTGTCTATCTATCTATCTATCTATCTATCTATCTATCTATCTGTCTACCTATCTACCTATCTATCTGTCTATCTAGTTTTATCGTTGGTTCTATCTTCTTGTGGTTCTCTTTGTCATTCTACCTACCTGTCTCTCTCCCTGCCTCTGTATCAGTCAGATTGCTTGTCCATCCGTCTCCTTGTCTGTTTGAGTGTTGCTGCCACAGTCCGTCCTTACAGACCATCGCTCTGTCAGCCTGTCTGTGGCTCTGCCTGTCTGTCTCTCAGTATGTCTGTCCATCAATTCCAGCATCAGTAAGGCCCGAGCTTGCCAGCAGCAGTCAACACATGCTGTATGTGCATCAGTGTGGATAGAATGGATTTATCCCATGTTTGCGACCATGTAGCCGATGTAGTTTGCTGTATTCTGAGACCTGCCCTGCAGTTGTAAGTTACTGATGGGAAGTGAGGCTTGTGCCACATTGTTCACCTTTAATGAAGACCATTGCACTTGCCTCTTTTGGTCTTTGTGCACCGTCACCCAGCATTTTCAGATTGGGCTTTAGGTCTCTCTCTACGAATAAGTGTTCATTGGCATGTAGCATGCAATGAAACCGGGACAATAACTACACTTGTTTTACCCGAGTTAAAAGTTGTACCTCTCAGCACCTTATAACCCTACAGAGAAGATTAGCATAGCTATGTATGTGTGCACTCCCAGCAAATCAAATCTAAAAGGAGCAGTGGTCTTGGATCTTTAGAGATTTCTCAGGCCAAGTAAACATGAATAATTCTAGGTGGTGAGAAAGGGAATTATTTGCTGCTTTTGTATTGCTGACATAAAAATATCATACCAATGAACTTTAATTAAGTTCCAGACTTTCAGATTTTAACTTTACCTTTACGCTGTGAGCCTAAGCCTCCGTGTGTTGAGAGGTATGATATTAACAGAGCAGATTTCACCAAAAAGAGCACTGAATCTAATTAAATGAGAGAGAGAGAGGGATAGGGGGAGAGAGCAAGAGAGAGAGAGAGGGCCAGAATTATGACCGCTACTCTTCAGAATGCTGCATCCTCCATCTCAGTCACCATCCACTCTGTTATATTGTCTCTTTCTTTGATGGTCAAAGTGATGTGCTGGATTTTAATGCCCATTCTTGTCTTGATGACTGCCAACTCATCAAGCAGCAACTGTCAAAAGAGCTTGCCATTCATGCCTCAGGGGCTGCCACTGCACTGTACATGTGCTTCTCATGTCTCAACAGCTCACGCACACATTTGTGTTTTATTTAACCTCAGGATGTGGAGTCATCCATGTCCCCTGTGTATTTTATACACATAACTACTTATATATACCTAATTTTCTTAGCCTAACCATTAAAATAAACTCTTAATGTCAGTAACCAAAACAAATTTAGGAGTATTTTGGAGAATGCTCTCTTTTATAGTCCCTTAGATTCTAGGTATTACCCAGGATCCAGTTTCCTAAAGGAAGGATGGTTCTTCAAGGGTTCTTTAGTAAAGACAGTGGTTCTATATAGAACCATGAACACTCAAAGAACCATTTGCATGCTTAAATGATGAAATGGTTCTTCAGATTGATGGAGAATGCACTGTAGATGATTCTACATAGAAGGTTTTTGAAAATGGTTCTGGATAGCACCAAAACAGGTTCTTCTATTGTTACAACCTTGACATCGTAACAACAGCAGAACCCTTTTTGGTGCCATACACAACACATTCTCCATCAATCTGAAGAACAAAGCATGCAAATGGAGTGTTCATGGTTCTATGTAGAACCATTGTCTTCACTAAAGAACCCTCGAAGAACCATCTTTTTAAAGAATGCACCATTAAGGAATCATATTTGTGCTAAGAAGCTTTGGGAAACCCAGGACAGGTAAGTCTGAGGTACAAACTTTAAAGTACTTGGTATTTATTTTGAGTAACATGATAAGTTCCACGACAGCCTAACTATATTTTACTAAAACCCAGCAGGTTCTAGCTAACTAGATAAGTGCAAGGCGCAGTCTCCAAAGTGATGTGCAAGTCTGTTAAGTAACCAGACAGTCTAACAAAAAATTCACTGTGGTGTCACATTATTAAGCAGGAAAGTAAACCAGAAAGTCATTTAAGTCACAGTAGCTGTATTGGTTAAAAAGAGGTGAGAGTCTTACATCTATTAGCTAGAAACAAAACTGAATCTGGGATGTAAAGGAGCAAAGATTCTTACTCTGGTTTTACTGGCTTCTTATCATTTACCTAGAGTTTACTCTCCTGCTTAAACATGTGACATCATGGTGAAATTTAGTGTATTTTTGTTGTACTGTTGTACCACCTGCTCCAAATAATTATCCATTTTAATTTCATCTTAGTAGCTAGAACCTGTTAGACACTTCAATGTAATTTAATTACACACTGTCTTGGTTCTTACCATCACTTTGTAGTTGGCACCATGCACTTACTCAGTTAATAGCTAGAACCTGTTAGGCATTTCAGTGTAATTTATTTAGGACATTTTGAAACTCAAAATAATACCTAGTACTTTGGAGTTTGTACATCACACTTACCTGGTTAGTACATAGAAAGTTAGGGATGGCAAAAGAAAACATTTTTTCCTGAAAATGTATGACAACAAACACACACATACACACTGCCCTTCAGCCCACCAGCACAGCTCCATGTCTGTCTTGTGTCTGTTTTCCCCCCTTTTTAACTCCCCCTTTTGTTCTTGAATTGTGTGGATTAGTCCATACACAGGGGAGGTTTGACCCCTCTGACATTTCCTTGCCACTTATTCTTAATTGTCTGGGTTTATTTGTCCACCCCTTTTTCTGCCCCACCCCTTGCATTCTGCACAGGTACACTTTCACGGGGATTTACACGTTTGAGTCATTAATAAAAATTCTGGCGAGGGGATTCTGCATCGGACCATTCACCTTCCTGAGGGATCCATGGAACTGGCTGGATTTCAGTGTGATTGTAATGGCGTAAGTACATCTTCCCCTGGCCTTCGATTATCTCCAGTGACCTCTCTGACCCCTTTTATCCACCCAAGACCCCTTCCCTCTGGATTAATCGCTAAAACTAGACCCACTCATAGCATTAGTTCAAGTCAGTGTAATTAGTTGCATGAGGTCTTTTCTATAGGATAAGATTAACCTAACTCTGTCGTGCAGTCAGGACACCAGAGGATTTATATAATATATTCACATGTGTGATGTGTCATGAAGAAAAGTCTTCCAGGTCAGAATGATAACCATTTACTCTGTCCATGATCCTAACCCCCCAACACATGTTGCCATAGCAGCCATGATAAGAGTAGATTTATCTGAATCATCCCAAGTGTTTGTGCGATTCAGTACTGTTTTGTTGACAAGCTTGTCGAAATCCATTTTTACCTCATGTTTATGAGTGCTGTCTTCATTTCAGGATCACATTCCGTTGTATTTTGTCTGTATTTCTGCTGTATGTTTATTCCATTTTGAATGTATGTACAGAGTATTGCTGAAAGACAAAACTGGTATACTGGCGTTATCTGTGAGAATAATTTTCATTTACAGTAAGCTGGAGGGAAACATACAAGAGGCACTTTCATTTTGAATCCAATTAAATTAAGTATTCAACTGAACCAAACAGAAACATGACAAGGACATTTCAAAGTTGCAGTTTCCCAGAAATATACTCTGTTCAAGAAGTGTTGCTTTTGGGCTCCAAAAATGATTCACCAATCCTCAAAACATCTATTTGGCTCAGAAAATTTTGTCTGACATGCATGAAAATGATTTGTTTAGTTTGATTCTTTTTATTCTTTTTAATGCTTTCATCACTGAGATTGAATCATTTTTGTCTCATAAATCAACAGCCGTGGGATTCAGTGTATGTGTTTCTGTAAGTTTAACTTACAAACGAGAATCATTGTGGCTCATAGAAAGAGGAGCATGTGATAAGGTATATTGTCACTGTCCGAAGAAAAAAAAACAAATTCCAAGCAGCTTTGAAGCATTTCTATTGGTCTGTTTGTCCTGAAATTGTGAATAGCAATGTAAAGGGCAGTTGCTATGATCAAATGATGTAGAAAAATAAGAGATACTTTTTTTTTTTGGACAGCAACAATTTATACATTCAGTTTATATTTTCAACATTCTGTACAATGAAGCACTAAAGGGCCACCGTTTCCTCACTGACGATATTGAAAAATTATAACCCCAAATCAAGGAAACCCTCACTGCTATATTCCAAAAGGGGTTTGGAAGGATGCCATAAAACAACCACTTTTGGTTCCCTAAAGAAACATTCAGTGGATGAGTCTTTAATAATAAATGAGATGAGCCAATGTGAAGAACCTTTTTAAAGTTTATAGAACCTCCACATAAAAACCCAAGCAGCGCTTTTACGTCTGTATTACATGATTGTCAACCCATCCAGGCATTAAGACTGCCCGACTGTGGCCTGCTTGTGGCCTGGGTGTGGCCAGTGATGAAGTGCTTATTTCTCGTTGGCCTTTATGGCTTTATTTCTCTTCCCTGAACGGGGCAGTTGTCCTTGAACTGGATGCCTCTGCTGCTCCAGATAGATTCTTAGGCCTTACTGTAGTCAATAAGTCACTGGAGTGTCGGGACGTTGACAGGGCTGCTGGCCGCCATTCCTGGCTTTATTAAATCCAGACTGATGACTGCGAAACAGATACGAGCAGTGATAAACGATAGATACTTCCCCCCCTTCCAATCCAGGTTCCTATGGAAACAGAATAGCCGCCCTCGCGCGCACAACTGCCGCACGTCTGAACGATACGTCCAAACATAATCATATTCTAACACCGCCCAGGCCTTGTCACTGTCTCATCTACTGGCTCCACATGTGAGATTACCAGCGGCTCCATTATGGCCCCCCTCGCCACCACCACCCCCTCCACCCCCGGGTGACCCCCCTCTTACAGTAATTCAATCAGTGTAATGGTCAGAAGAGATGCAACTCGATACGGGACTAAAGCGGGTAGGTCCAGATGACTTGATCCCGTCCCCGAAATCAAAGCAGCCTGGTTGCACTGTGAGCATTAACAACCATAGGAGCAAATGCTTAAGTGAACTACATAAAATTACACTGTTATATTTTCCTTATTTTTCCTTACCTTCTTCTTTCACTCTTGTTTCTTTCTTAGGTGGTTGTGGACTTTTTTTCCTTCAAATAATTGTAATTTGATCCTACAGGTTTCTAACCGAATTTATTAAAGTAGGCAATCTGCAAGCACTTCGAACGTTCAGAGTCCTCCGAGCTTTGAAAACTATTTCCGTAATTCCAGGTAAGAGGGAAAAAGTAATTAAAAAAAATAGGCTGCAGTGTCGCTCCTTGTCCAGTCCAGCGCAAAACTCCTTCAGAGTCGAGCTGCCTCCAGCCCACTTACCCTCAACATTGTCTTCTCCAAACATCTCATGCCCATATGCCAAGAACAAGCCCCTCCCCTTCCACCTCTCCTGTGTTGTTTGCCTGTTGTTGGTGCTGTTGTCATTGTGTGCGCTTCAATTTTCGCTTATTGCAGATATGTTACTGAGTTTGTGGACCTGGGCAATGTCTCAGCGTTACGGACCTTCAGAGTCCTACGAGCACTGAAAACTATCTCGGTCATCCCAGGTGAGACAGGCGTTAACCACTAAGGCCTGCTGTGTTGCCCGAGGGCTAAAAGCCTACCAGACATTTCCTTACCTTCCAAATAGCGAGACTCTTTTGGAAAGCCGGGAATGCTATGCGTAGGCAATGAGACTTTTGAGTTGGGAAACATAAAGCAGCATGCCTTTGAGTAATACTTTTCATCTCTGATTACATGATTACCAGCCCATCCAGGGCTCACTGCTTGTGGCCTAAGTGCAGCCATTGATGACAGGACATTATTTCTCAACAAAATTTAGTACTAAAAGTAACAGCAAGGCAGTGCCTTTGTAAGTGGCAGTGCCTTTGCCTAGAAAACCTGGCACCACATAAGAAAGCTACGCCCACTTTCCTTTAAGAAATCCTCATTACAGATTTCGGATGACATTAGACGCTGAAGTGTCAAACAAAGGACTTCCAAGTGCCAACATGTTGTACAGTACAGTGAACACAGACAAGTGAAATTAGATTAAGGCAGATGTTTCAGGTTTCAGCTTGGCCTCCAGCTTGCAGGCTCAGTTGACTCACTCCAAAAGTCTCATTAGACCTTAGTGCTTAACACCTAACACAGGCATGGATAGCTTTAGAGTAACTTGCATGGTAAGCCTCAAGCATTGACAGCAGACGCAATCCACAGAAAGAGGCAAGGCTAAATTCTGCCCTTCAAGCAATTATTGAGTAGCACTGACTAGTAAACACTGCAGTTTCCGTTCATCACTAGCTGAGTGACTTGATTTGAGATGGATTAAAGCATGTAGAGAAGAAAGAAAACCAGAATACCTGGTTCATTCATTCCACTGTGAGATTCACAGTGTGAAAATAGGATTTTATCCTTAGCGTCTGTTGTCAATGATTCAAATCTGTGGAATTTTCAGTAAACACAGACATTGTATATGTTAGCCTTTGTTGTTGTGTGGTGTGTGTTATGTTGTTTTGTGTTAGATGGTAGAATTTGTGTTGTTGTTATAACTCGCCAGTGGTTTGCATTATCGTGAAATTCAGTTCACAGGTGGTGGGCATGAAGACAAGCTGTCTTTGCTTTGATTTTAGTTTGCACTGTGGTGTAGTATATGCTATATAACAGTCTCACTAACTGGACAGAACTATAGAACATAGCATAAAGATAGTATGAAGATTTTAAATTAATACTGTAATATGTAATACATCAGCACAAATGACAAATGATTAGCATCTACTACAATTTCTTCAGTATTTTCCTTTCAGTTTTCACTTCTTACTTGCTTGAAACTCACAGTTAAGTGCTAATCAGATGTTGACTGTATTTTACGACATTTCCATTCTGACTGTCTTATGTGTCTTATTTAGGCTTGAAGACTATTGTGGGCGCCCTGATTCAGTCGGTAAAGAAGCTGGCAGATGTCATGATCCTGACTGTGTTCTGTCTGAGTGTGTTCGCTCTTATCGGCCTGCAGCTCTTTATGGGTAACCTGCGTCAGAAATGCGTGCGCAGTCCGGCCCACTGCATCAACAACACCATCCCCTCTCTTCTCTACAGCAACAGCACTTTCATCTGCAATAATAAAACCTGGTCGTCGATGGAGGAGTTCTTCACGGATGAAGGTGTGTGTTGTTGAACATGAATGAACACCCACCATGTGGCCCCTCTGTCACACTTCTGCTGTTTGTGAACACTCGAATGTGACCACAGTCTTTGATGATTCATTTGAGGCACTTCACATTTGATCTGAGTATTGATTGTGGTTCACTAGGGCAAATCACCCAGGAAAACTGTTGTGTGAAGATGCTGTTCTGACTTGCCATTGGCAGCTCGTTATCAGCGGTAATGGAGGTCTGTGTAGGAGTAGTGGGATAAATTATTAATTGGGATTTTTTACTTTTTTTGTAATTTAATGTTTTGTAATCGTGTACAGCACTGTGCCAAAGTCAGAGACCATTTATTTAATTGCCAGTCAAAACAGCCATTAAGTGCAAATGATTCATTTTTCAAGAGATATTTGTGAGGAGATTAGATATGAGATATTCCGCTTGGAGCTCCCAAAACTGGACTCTTAACAGCCATGCAAGACCTGTTAGACCACCAAAACTGTCACCATTGGATTAACAGCACTTATAACTTTCATCTTTGAGAGAGAGGAAAAAATCAACCTCCACTCTTGCTTCAGATCCACAGTTGTTTCTGTCCATCCATCCACTGTGAGAAGACAACTCAACACTGTGAGTCTGAAAGGATGTGTAGCTATCAAGAAGTGATTATTAAGAAAAGGAAAAAGGAAATTTAACAAAGAAGCTACTGGTGTTCTTAGATCAATGAACTCTACACTCACACTACTCCATATGGGCTAGATATCTGATAATATTGATCATTTTCAGAAGTGGTAGCACTAGTAATAGTAGTACTAGAAATAATAATTATTCACCTCATAAAATTTGGTTATTCTAACTTAGTGAATTCTGTGTTAATCTGCTAGGACACATTTGTGACATGAACAACTCACATGTGAAAAAATGAAAGCTGTCCCTGTGCACCCAAGGCTTATTACTTAGTTATTATTCTTAAAATGTATTATACAATAACTTCTACAAAACTACTGTGTAGTTGTGAGAGTGAGAGACTGACGTCTGGGCCTGTATATAGACACTTAAACTTAGAGTTTAAAGGGTTAATATTAAATGTAAATAGTGAAATGCACATAACACGGAAGATATGAGGAAAGATATTTGTTGGCTGAAAAGATAGTATAGGTCTGTTCAGAATATATAATGATGTAAAATGGACCAGCAGAAGTAGTACATTCTGACTAATTTACAAGAGATGGTACACTACAGCAGTAGTGTATATATTCAGTGAGTCAGTTATGGTTACCATGCTAACACTGCAGAAGGTAGGCAGAGAAATGAGGAAATCCTATGACTCAGTGTGCTCAGGTTCCAGCCAACACAAGAGTCGACAAATTCAACTCAGACATAGATGATGAGAGTTCCTGGAACCACGGACAGAAATCCAATTCACAACTCTGAAAACAGATCAGAGACACTTACTAAAAGTTATACTCCTGAGGAATAAGAAAGTGTGAGTTTTCCCATCTTGTTCAGATGTATCAGCTTAAAGGGCTATATCATGGAGAAACAAATTGTCCGTACAGTCCATGTATGGAAACTTATTATGTTCCAAAATAATATGATAATTAATTTTTATTTGACTATTTTCTGACCTCTCTTTATCCCTTAGAATCAAACTGGCTGTTTATGTTACTGTGCCTTTATATGATATATGTAAATGAGCTCTATTTTGATTGGCTGACGGTACTGTGCCTCATTTAAAAGAGTCTAAGTAGAAACATTTCTTATAACATCATGTGAATGGGCAAAGCTAAGCTGCTGTAGGCTGAATAGGTGGTCACAGGTGAATATGTTGGTTTTTGTAACATCACAGAAACAGTGATTTCAAAATGGGCTGTTTTTGCAGCCTGTCTTACAGTGTATGGACTGTAATGGGCCACTGTAGTGTAATGGGCCCCTTAAAAATTATTTCCAACCTGACAGAAATGTAAACTTGTGTTTTTTAGGGGCCACCTTTACTTGAGCTCCATACCAGTGTCCTTCTTTAAAATAAAACTTGATATTTACCTTGCTACATCCAACAGAACAAAACCTAACTCAGCAGCAGTCCCTTAGTACAGCATGCAGTGTTGAATGGTGTCTCTACAGAGGCCTGTCTACATCACTTGTACCTCTGTCCAACCATGCTTAAACAGCTAGCCTTGTGGTCATGCTGTTAGCTAATTGTTTTCAGAATAAGCTCTTTGAAATTTCCCAGTAGGTTCTTATTGTGTGAACATGACCTTGTTTAAATGGTCTTTTTGTGGCCTACAGTTAGAACATTATTAAGGCCAATATTGTTGTTGACAGTAACCCTTTGTAGCTGTACAGTAGCTTCACTGTCACAGGAGGATATTGTTAATAGCGCTCTCAATATCATCCTAAAGCTTTTCTGTAATATCTGTAATGAATTACTTTGAGGATTAACACATTAGGAGTTGTAAATTGGACTGGGACATTAGGCCTGTTGATCATCGCTTTGTCGTTGAATGACAGTGCTGTTAGGTGAGCAGACAGCTATTTAAGACGAGATTTAGTATTATTTTTGGTTGGTCTCATTTCATTAGAATAGCAATTAGGACAGTACTGGCACTCAATAATGTGACCCGCTGTACAAAGATGTAGGACACTGACTTAAATAGATGGATATTTCTCCTGATGTGCCTTGTCATACCATGATAATGACTAAAGTGTCTTCCAGTAACCTATATGATTCTCAGTGCAATCTAGATGGTACTTCATGGAGGCAAATATCATACATGAAATATTTATGGATACTTCCTCAGTTTCTTTAACTCTGCTAATTGTGCAGATTTAGATCGATGGGACAATGAGACCCACCCAAGCTTCTAAGTGTCTTTATTTCCTGTAGCTTAGGAAATGGAGGTGATCTGACACACATAGGTGATAGTGAAGCACTTTTAAAAACACAACAGCATCCTAATGACATCAGAATCAGATTTTTTTTTATTTAAAGGATTTCTCTTGGTGTAAGGGACCAACATAAATTCCAATAACATTAAAAAAACACAATATAGACAATCATTTACGTTACATAACTAGACCTGTTACAATTAGTTGACGATGAATTGTCTTATGAATAATAGCGATTAATAATTTGTCTCTTTTTGTTCATTTCAAGCCTAAAGTGGCCAAAATTTAGGATTAGCTATCTTGTTTCCTAGCTGTTGATACTTTGTAGCTCCCAACTGACAACAGAAACAGCTCGAGCTCAAATAAACAAACTCACCACTGCCCTCTAAAGGTGTTAGGAGTTAGAACTTTCTGTTTCCGTATAGCCCATGACGTCTTAACAAACACATTTTCTGATTTTGTTTATACAGTGGGGTCCGAAAGTCTGAGACCACTGGTGAAAATGCTTTTATTTTTAATATTATCAGCATAACTTTAATGTGACATTAATATCACAAGTAATATTATCAGCATGACAATTTGGCTGAATCTTTGAATGCTTACATGAATTTCAGAATTTCCTACACACTTAAAAAAGATGGTTCTTCAAAAGAGTCCTTTAGTAAAGAAAGTGGTTCTATATAGAACCATGAACACTCAAAGAACCCTTTGTGTGACTAAAGGGTTCTTTGCATGGTGAAATGGTTCTTCAGATCGATGGAGTATGTGTTCTATATGGTTCTATATAAAACATTTTACAAAGGGTTCTATATAGCACCAAAAAGGGCTCTTTTATTGTTACAAGCTTGACATCGTAACAATAGAAGAACTCTTTTTGGTTCTATATAGAATGCTTCAACGTATTTACGTGTATTCGTCTACACCAGTGGATATAAATGTACTCGTTCTCTTTGTTAAGTGTTCTGTAAGCATATGATTGTGAGAGTTACCACTGTGTAAAATTATTACAGTCAGCTAAAATAATTGACCGCTTGCAAAATTAGTCCCGACTCCCTTAGTTACCGTTGCTATGTCTGTTGAACCTCCAGCTCAGGCCACCTAGTAGCATTCGTAGCGCTTGTGTTAACAGACTAAAATGTTCAGTATCACAAAGGAAAGTGTACAAGTACACAGACGAACACTGTGTTCAGTTATTATTCAAAAATAATCTAGCTTTACGAGTTGTTGAGTACAGGTAAACATGTCTGAGAACTGACAAAGTATGAATATAGCCCAAAATCAAGGGGAATTCCACCAATTTTTCTAAACTTCACTTTAGTTCAGTGTATGAGATGTAAACAGTGTCATTCAGAGTGGTTTGATGTAAAATGGTTTACTGTAGAAAAACCTATTGACCTTGATGTCTTTACAGTGGTGATATCAATCAGGGCCTGCAATATCTACAACACATATAAAGCCATTTTCTTCACTCTCCAAAATGACCAGTGAACATACATGTGCCTTCTGAGTTTTTATATGTTGATGATGGGAAAAATAGTGGTAAATCACTTGTATAATGCCTTTCATGTACCAATTTTATTTTAAAATATATGCTCTAGGCCAAAACCTTCAGTCAGAACTGTCATACAACAACATCTCAGGCGTCAGGCAATGTATTTGTAACCTTTAAGTGTAATATTTTCTATGATGAAGCTTTAAGCACATCCAAAAGCTTCAGATGTCTGGTTTCTACCACCACCACTGTAAGCAGTTCTTACTCAGTAAGTCTCTCTAGAAAGGCAGATTTCACTCTAGATGACTTTGGTTACAGTTTTAAGGATATAATTGTCAGTGGAATATATTCTAAATATATATTCTGGAAACCATGTTTACATTAACCAAACCAGGGAATTTTTTCAGTCACTGCACAGTAATAGGAGATTTTTTATGTCTGTTAAGAAGGACGTTTGAGTGACAAAGCTTTCAGATAAGCCAACACCAGAGCTAATAATGCTAAAGCTAACAGTGGAGCTGGTCCGTGGCATGTTAGATGTGGAGGAAGGCTGGTTGTCTTGTACATTAGTGGCAATACAAATCATGCCATGCAGATGAGCCCTCCTAATATTTCTGACTCATTTACTGCCACCATCATTTTCACTGCAAGTTGTGTCGTTGAGGTTTTTAAGTAGTGCTTATCGACAGCTGTGATTGTCAGAGAGATTTACCAATTATTTTGCAAACAGTCAATTGTGATCAGGTCAAATAATTGTGACAAGCCTACAAGTAACATAAATGTATGTGTTTTATATAGCTATATTATTTATTAAGTTATATTAATTGTTAAGTATTGAAGTTGGCACAGTTATAAAGTACATATATCATCACTATCCAAAAAACAATAATAATAAAAAAACAAGTATCTGATTTTTTTTTTTTCATTTTTCATTTGAGAACACCAGTTACCCTACATTGTGTAAAAATTATTTCAAGATAAATTGACCAATAGAAATGCTCCAAAGAATAGCTTAGAATGAAATGTCTTTACATTAACTTATATTGATATTTGCCTTCTGCTGTACAGTTGCCATTTTGGAGATTTTTGGAGGTTTTTCTGTGGACAGCGTCAATATATTATATGTACACCTGAAAGTGTGATCATATACATTATGCATAGGTGCAGCTGATTTAGCTTTAGTGCTGCATGCACAGTAAGACAACATGGCTTCTGTTTCATATGGGCTAACAGCGTTATTGTCCAAAACAATAGCACCTGATCAGGCTGCACTCAGGCAGCAGGAGCACTGTGCAATCTGATAAGCGCAGGCGCACAGTGACTTTGTGGCTTGTGTCTGAGTCCAGGCCACACAAGAGACACATTTAAGGCCATGCTGCTGAAACCAGGAATGTTGACAGCTGGAGGCTGAGGCTGGGGCGGCCTGCCAAACGCGACCTGTTACGGATCCCCCCTCCGGCCTGCGCCTTCTAAAAGCACTCCAGGCCTGGAGTGGTGGAGAGGGACTGGAAGAAAAGGGGGATAGTGTGAAACCTGGAGGAGATAAAATGGAGGACCTGGCAGAAGGGCCACTGGTGCTCATGCCAAGGCCATTGTACATGTAATCTCCCAGTCACTCTCTTTAGCAGAGGCAGAGACATAGCCGTGAGTCAGTGTGATGGGTTTTGTCCCCACTGTGTATCTTCTGTTGCATTATTGCCTCAGAACCAAAGCAACGATTCCCAAAGACAGCAATATTTAATATTTAATATTTAATATGTATTTGTTTCTTCACTGATACTTCAAAATGTTTGCATAACTCAAACGTTGAATTGTGAAGAAAGTAATTCAGAGTGGTTAGATGTGAAGGTGGGGGTGGGAGGTTTGGGGGTTGGGGGTACTATTTTGCCTTACAACACCCTGAATGTACCTCTCTGCCAGGAATGGCTTTAAAAAAATGTTGTTTTTTTTTCATGATTATAATCTTATAACTATCATAAAACAATGTCTCAGACATCAGGCAGCATAATTGTATGCATTTCATATAATAAGTTTCTCTGAGGGAGCTTTTAGAGGCAATAAACTCTACAGATGTCTGGTACGCATCACCACCACTGTGAACAATTCCGACTCAGTAAGTTTCTCTAGAATAAAATATCTTATTGCCAGGAGAAAAAAAATAACACTAATGTTCTGTGTTTCACAATGATTTGAAGGGGTGTAAAATATTTATTTATATAACTGATCACATCCTGTTTGAGCAAGTTTATAGCCATTGTAGACATGATATAATGTTGGTAATATATTTTTTTTATTATTCTCACCTCCAGATAACTTCTACAAAGTGGAAGGAGCTAAGGATGCCTTAATATGTGGAAATGCAAGCGATGCTGGGTAAGTGAAATGCAGGCTCTAATGCTATCTGCTGTTGGATAAGCAGTTACTCAGAGGAGTGCTGTGCGTTTTTGAAAGCTTTGGTGCTTTAGTCATGACTGCAAAATTAAATGCACCACATTTACAGGTACTTTTAAAGTCAACCTGAAATCAAAGACTTTTTTGCCTTGTTAGTTCTCGTCCTGGTCATATTAAGCACAATTCTTTGCACTCACAAAGCACTTTATTAGGAACACCTGTACAGCAGTGAAGTGTTTAAAATCAAGCAGATATTAGCCAGCAGCTTCAGGTAATGTTCACATCATCCATCAGAATGGGGGAAAATGTGTTCTCAGTGATTTTGGCTGTGGCATGGTTATTATTGCCAGACGGGCTGGTTTGAGCATTTCTATAACTGCTGACTGCTGGATTTTTATGCACATAAGTGTCTAGAGTTTACTCAGAGTGGTGCGATAATAATAAAATCCAGTGAGCAGCATTTCTGCAGATGGAAATGTCTTGTTGATGAGAGAGGTCAATGGAGAATGGCCAGAGTGGTTTGAGCTGACAGAAAGACAACTCTGTAACCACTCTATACAGTTGTGGTGAGCAGAAAAGCATCTCAGACTGCACAAATCTTGAGGTTGATGGACTACACATGAGGTTCCACTTTAGTAAAGATGAGAAACCTGAGGCTGCAGTGGGCTCAGGCTAACCAAAACTGGACAGTTGAAGGAAAATGTAGCCTGGTCTGATAAATCTTGATTTTTGCTGAGACACACAGATGGTAGGGTCAGAATTTGGTGCCAACAGCATGAATTGAATCATCCAACCTGCCTTGAGTCAATAATCTAGGTTGGTGAAAGTGGTGTAATGGTGATGGGAATGTTTTCAGGGCACTTTTTGGGCCACTTAATACAATCCTCGCTTAAATCCCTTCATGGCCACAATTTACCTATCTCCAATGGCTACCTCTAGCACGATAATGCACTATGTGAGTGAGTTAATCGTTGTTCAGTGGCCTTCGCAGTCACCGGATCTGAATCCAACAGATGTTTCAAACATCTTGTGGAATCTATGCCATGAATTGAGGGTGTTTTGAGAGCAAAGAGAGGCCCTACCTGTATTAGTATAGTGTTCCTAAGAAAGTGCTCGGTTAGTGTATATCATTCCATTTTAAAAGACAAAATTCTTGTTTTCCATTTTCCCATTAAAAAGTACTAAAAATGACTGTGCAAAACTGTGTAATATTAAACAATTATATGATGTTTCACCTCCTACTCCCAAAATCCCCACCTATCACTGTGCAAAAATGCTCAGCTAATTCACAGACCCTTCCTGATACCATGTTAATTCGGAAATACATCGGTATGGTGCAGAAGGAAAATGCACAATAGTTTCTTATTCACGCTGACTTTAAATGTTAGATCACATTATATTCCATTCTAATACTTCACCAGTTCTACGAAACACAAAGGTGTCCAATATTGTTATTATCTCCCATCATTCACAGCACTCAGAAAGGGGGAATGCATAGATATAAAATAGAAAAAGGTAGATGTCTATAATGAGATGACGACATGATGACTTGAGTGTGGCCAGTCTGTGGCCTAATTGGGTCTTTGAATGTACAGCAGCTCAGCAGGCCAGTGGGGGTCTGAGATTAGCTTGATGGCGGTGTAAGGCGCTAGATTGGGTTCCTGTCAGAGCGTGACTAAAGCAAACACAGCTAGGCAGCTTTGAAGGCCTGACTCAGCACCAGTGCGTGTGCATGCGTGACTCAGTGGCCTTGAACAGCTCTCCTCAGCACCGGATGGAACAGCAACCAGTCAGCCACTAAATAAGGCTTCTGAATTGTTCTTTCATGAGTAACAAGTTGGACTTGATGGCTCTTGGTTTTCTGGGCTTTTCACATTGTTTTTCTATTCTTTTTTTATTGAAGAAACATAGTTCAGAAGACAAGCGTTTGAGTAGCTTGGCAACTACATCACACTGTTTTACTGTCTCAGAATTCACTGAAGGGATCTGGCTTCTTTTTTTTTGGCATTTTTTATTACTATGTGAAATTTAGGTGGGAAATATTTAGTGGTGTGAATCTCTGAACTCACAGCAGTTCAATTTTATTCTGATTCTTTAAACTAAAGCTGGCAGTTTACCTTTATTCAGCTTGTTTAAATTAATGTGGCATGACTGGGAATTATTTTTACAAATACTAGAATACACTAATTTCACTGGAGGAACTGTTCAAAGGTCATATGCCACTATTTAATTTCTAGCCAAAACAGTCATTAAGTGGAGGAAAAAAGCAGGAACATATATTTAACAGAAAATTACACAGAAGCCTCAACAAGTAAATATAATATCAACTTTTTCAGTATTTAATTTAATACCTAATTTATTACAGCTTTCAAGCTGACCATGTTTATTACAGCTTCCCTCCCTTTTTTATCTAATGGCTGCAGTTTTTTGGGGGGTAGCCAGAGAATAGCCAGAGAAATTTATCATAGCTTTGGCCAGAAGAATGAGCAAATATTATTGTAATCAATTGTAATTGATTCAAACATTCCAAAATTGATGTAGTTGAATGGGCACCTTCAGATCCATGCCCCACAATGCACTGATGCATTCTTACACCCTAGTAGTATTCTTCCTACATGTAATTTTGTCTTAACCCTGTGCGAGCATGAAATATGGTGTAAATTATGTTAATTAAACCTTTTTTCGCTGAAGCACACTCCTGCAGCACTGCCTTTTTTTAGAGCTGCATACAGAAGAAGTCTACTAGAGTCTGCAGAGCGCAATGTAGGACTTGAAAACATCAAAGCATGTTTTGTAAATGGTAATTGAATGAGGTCTTATACATGATCTCTGAACATACTAACACAGCTGCCAGCTGTGTATTCCCGTTAAGAGATCTTGCCATGGGGGACTTGTACTGGGCTTAACATTTTACAGCATGGGTATGGCCTGTGACGTATCTCAGCCTGCTTTCTGAACTGTCTCTAATGTGTGGACACTGAACTACAAGCCACAAAAAGTTCACAAACACACTAAGAAGTAATGAAAGAAACACTGTACTTTGTTTCAAGCAAAAGTTTTACAGTATCAATAACTTAACTAAAGCCTACAGAAGCTCCTTCACTGCTCTGTCTGTGTGCTTTGGAAAACATTATCACACTACTGACAGTTTTCCTATCCCCAGTGCACTGTTTTAAGGCTTTTATAACATTTAAAATGCTACAGCTGGCTTCAAAATATCTGCTACAGCTGTTCCCAAGTTATGATCATTATTCGCGTAATAACAATAATAATGAGCAGCAGCATTAGCACCATTATTATGATTAATTCTTGTTGATTATCAGTCCCATTAGGATCTAGCAGTCATTTTTTGAGATTGCTGCAGATCAAAAAAGCTTACATTTGGAAATTATCTGTGCCTCTGAGAACCAATAAGGAGAAGAGATTCAAGATAAAAAAATATTATAGCACTGTTTTAAAGGGCCTATGTCCTATACCGTTTTGAATTTTATTTTATGAAGTCCACTTGCAGCATTTGTGAGGTTTTACGTATTAAAAATTGTCATAATTAATTTTCACATGGTAATTTTCCAACCTTTCTTAATGCCTTAGTATTAACCAGGCTGTTTTTATTACTGTTACTGTTACTACCTTTAAGATACATATAAGATAAATGATTGGCTGCCTTGCTTTGTGCCTCAGTGAAAAAGCACTCAGAGATGAAACATTCCTTAGAAATTCAATATGAATAGGTGAAGCTAAACTGCTGGAATTGGTGGATAAATGTAAATGAGTTTGTTCTTGTAATATCACAGAAACAGTGACTTCAAAACAGGCTGTTTTTGCAGCATGGCTTCAATATAGGTATTGTATGGACTGGGCAATGAATGGCATGTTTTAAAACTTGACAATGTTTACATATAACTTCAGTTCCTTTCTTCAAAAAAAATATGAAAAGTGTATATATAATATTTTGCATTGAAATCATGGAATAAAACTAATTGCAAACAAAATAAGCACCATCATTTGACAGTCAAATATTCCAGAATGATGAGGAAAAGTTGTGCTCTAAAGTGCTCTCTAAGTTATTTTGGTAGAACATACATTCAGAACTAGTCAAAACTTTGCATCTAATGTTCTGTCTAACAGTCGTAGAAGTCGATAGAAGTTAAAGTTTTATGTTGGAAAAATGGGAGTCAGTTGTCAACTTTTGCTTGTGGTCCATTACAGTATTGCATGATGTAGATAACACTTTTCACTCTGCTTTCATATAAAACATTTGAAAAGTGGCTAACTCAAATATTTGTTGCCAAATGTGATCTCAGCATTATTCGTGACTTCTTGGCATGTAGAACAGGAGCTGTATACTTATATACTTATACTGTATACAGTAATTGTGGAATAGTGATAAGTGGAGAAAACTGTAAGTGCTTGCAAAATCTACCAAAAAAGGTCTGGTTGAATTTGTGTGAATTTGGGATTGTAAATTCCTGAAGGGACTGGATAATGATGATGACGATGATGGTGGTGGTGGTTGTTGTTGCAAGCAATATGAAAAAAAAAAATGTTTTCTTGTTTATGTTTTCTTAATCGATTTTACAAATGGGTTCCTACATTTTATCTCTGAGATTGCTGCCCTTTAAGAAACCCATTATGTCTTACACTTTAATAGCTTTTATTGCCCTGGACCAAAAGAAAGTTCACCCAATTAATAGCATGCATTGACCCGGGCTTGACTTCCCAAAAGCACCGTAACTTAAAGATCACCGTGAGATGGACAAGCGAATATTACTCTGAATGCTCTCTCTAATGGTTCAGATGATGCTGCTATGCTTTTAGGAACCAGTACTACTGCTGTGTGATAATGTACTGACCACTCTGCTCCCTGCTTTGCACTCACCAGAGGAACAGGCCTTTAATGCCTCTCTCAAACTTCCAAATCGTCTCAGTGTTATATTCCTTATTTTTTATCCCTTCTTCTGTACCTTTTAACCTCACCCCTT